CTTTCCCCCCCACCCCTCCCGCCCCTCCGCTCTCCGCAGTCAGCCGCCCTCCCCGCACCTCCGCCTTCCCCCGGCGGCGGCGGCGCGGGGCGGGAGCGGAGCCGGCGCGGTGCCTGCGCCCTCGCCCGGCCCCCCCGCACCGGCGGCGGCTTCGCAGTGCGCAGCGGCCCGGCCCGGCCCGGCCCGGCCCCGTCACGTGGGCGTCTAGACACCGTGTCGCTCCGGGGGAAAAAAAAAAATAAATAAATATATCTATATATTATATTTATCTCCAACCGCCTTGCGCAAGAGGCGGCTCGGGTTGCGGAGAGGTTGTGGGTCCGTGCGTCCCCTCCCCGGCTCACCCCACCGCCGCCGCGCCCCGCTCCCGATGCTTCCCTTCGTACCTGCTCCTGGGTGAGGGGTGCGGGGAGACTGGGGTGTCCCCCCCGCACCCCGCGGGGCACAGGGTGGGGAGCTCCCGGGACTGGGGTGTGCCGGTGCTCGCTGTAAACATTGGAATATTAAACCAAATCAGCGTAAAAAATTTTAAAAAAAAATCGATATGGCTCTGGGTATAGAACGAGGGCGCATCACAAAAAGCAGTCATAATAATGATGATGATGATGATGATAGTAATAATAATAATAATTTGTGCTGCTACAGCACCTGTCACCAGGAGGACAGGAAAATACACCATGGAGGCTCGGTACGCTCCGATTCCAAACACGAAGCAGCAATGACGGGCGAGTAGCACTCCGGTATTCGCGTTACGGGTGCTACTAAGCGGTAACAACCCCTGGCACCCTGGGCGCTCCACAGATTTCCCCCATTCCAATTCTGGACCGGCAGAGGGTGAGGAAAGCTGAGCCACCAAGAGGCTGCGCTCTCGTCCAGCCTTGCTGCGCCCTGCGGCCGGGCTGGGAAGTCCGGCCAGACTTCCTAGCGCCAGGCTTGGCAGGGCAGCAGAAGTCCCCAGGGGTCCCCGTCCTGCACGCACTCCCACGGAGGAGCAGCTCCTTTTTCACAGAATAACTGCGGGCGGATGGGTTGCTTTAAGGTCACTCTCCGAGGCAGTTATCGTGTCGGAAGTAGGAGCTGGGACTCTTAAATCATGGCTGCTGTAACCAAGTCGAGCTCAAATCCAAAGGCAAAGACATCCAAAACAAATGTTGCACCCAACTAAATGTGACGCTGGGTAGAGCACATATAAAACCAACGTCCCGTGCAGGCAGGGCATCCCTGGGGTGTATCTTCTGGATCCCTAAATTTGGGGTGGGCAGGAGGGCAGGGATAATTTAAGCACCCAGTTGCGCATATATTCACATGAGCAGGTCGGGGATGCCACAAACGGGCCTGGCATTTGAGGAATCTGCACCTAAATTAGTCACAAAGTGGCTAGATTTGGGCGTAGCCTTGTTAAATGTTAACAACACTATACCTAGCCAGGTACAAAATCTGCTCAAAATGCAGATAAATAGTTGAAAAAACACTGGGGAGGAAAGAATGTTATTTGCTGGCATCAGAAAGAATAATTTAGGAAGCTTTGTTACAAAGCTGGAGTTTGAGGAAGGCAATTTGGCTCCTTCCTTCACCTCCAAGTAATTAAAGGTGGGAGCGGAGTCCAGGGCGCAGCTCTACAGTCTTTAGGTGATAACTTGGGGTAAATCATAATAGCAACAGCATTTGGGTCTGTACCTGCAAAAAAAGTCCCATTGCTTTTAAAATTATGCCTTCTGCACCCTGAAAAATGGAAATTGGGTAATATTTTTAGTTCAACACTTTGTCCTACAGCCTCTGGAGTGACCTCACATACACTGAAACTGATTTCCTCACTTCCTCAGAGAACCTCAATTTATTTTCCCTGTGATGAATATAGAAAATCAGGAGGGGGGAAAAAAGAGTTCCTTCTCATTCCAATATTTGCTGGTGAAAGACATGTTGGACACATTCATTAATCCATACGTTATACTTTTTAATTTTTCAAAACTTGCCAGGCTATTATAAATGAGATTAAAATCTCCTTTTTTAAATTTTCTCCATTGCAGCTCCACTTGCCTCATCACTGACAGCTACAATTACTTTTGTCATGAAGGAAGCAACAAAAAGTACAGTATGCTGTGTGATGTGAGGAGGTGGAGGACAGGAATGGGGTCCAGGAGTTAATATAATTTTTTGTCCCTGCCGTAGGTTCTCCAGGTGACCTGGGACACCTGCCTTTCCCTGTGAGTAGGGACCCGGGCTTTGGCACCTCTGATTTCCCACAGGTACAGCTGGGCCATCAGCGCTTGCCTGGTTTTGTGATCTCTGCAGTGGAAATTGCCCCAGAATTGCTAAATATTAAATAACTGATAAAGAACTGCTTTCCAATTAACCCTGAAAACTTGTTTAAACAGACCATATGTATGTGCCCATATGGAAAATACAGAAACAAGCATAATGAAGCCGATAAATCTGGGAAGGGGACCTGGGCCGAGGGGACGCTTGGAAAGCAGGGTGATACCCACAGCCTGCCCTGCTCTGGATGCATTGCTCAAATGTCACCCTGGGCCAGAAACCTGTCCTGAAATGCATGAAGGGCACTGTTAATCCCCGAGGAGAAATAAAATATGTTTGAGTCATAGAATTCAAGAATTGTTTAGACTGGAAGGGACCTTAAAGCTCATTTTGTTCCACCTCGTCTGTCAGGGCTGGGACACCTTCCACCAGACCGGGTTGCTCCAGCCCTGTCCAACCCAGCCTGGGACACTTCCAGGGATCCAGGGGCAGCCACAGCTTCTCTGGGCACCCTGTGCCAGGGCCTGCCCACCCTCACAGCCAAGGATTTTTTTCTTCCTACATAGTCTGAATCTCCCCTAATTTAGTTTAAAACCATCAACCCTTGTCCTGACACTTCAGGCCCTACTAAAAAAGTCTCTCCCGGTTTAAGCCCCTTTTGAGTGTTGAAAGGATTTATACAATGTGTTACATTTGTATAATGTGTTTGCACAACGTTTTGCATCCCTCCTGCCAAACACATTAGGTCCTGGATGTAAAATCCCGGCGAGCCCACCCTCCCCAGCCCCAGACCTCCGTTCTCACGGGGGTTTCTGGGGACCTCTGCTGAACCCAGCTGGCTTTGAAGAGCTAAAGCCGGGTTGATTTGCATTGCAATTCAACCTTTGACAGACAGTTGGAGCCAAGGCACTGTTAACCTAATTGTTTTGCTAACAGCACCAGGGTGTGAGACTCACCAAAGGCACTTCCAACAAAGGGGATAAAACCAGACTTGGG